TCTCCTTCATCTGAGATCAATAAGCTATCTTCCATGTTGAACAAAACAGGTTTAAACTTGACTCTGCATAACATGAATCACGTATCACGTCAATAAAATCAGTATTAAGACCAACTTAATTTATGGAAATGATGGCTCCTGCCTACTATATTAACAATGTTCGGGGAAGTCAGAATCGCATGCAGTCTATGAATCTCAAATTGTGCGATTCAGACTTAAAGTGATTGCGCAGAGACAAGCCACTACTAAAACAAATGTAAAAATAGAAAATTATTTCCATTGATCAAAGTAAATGCTTATAGCTATGTGGAACACTTTGAATACATTCCTTTAGAAGTTCAACTCTTGGATATTCTCTTTTCACTACAATGGTATCTCGAGTGAAATGTACAGATGCAGATGCCCTCGTCTAGTATCTTTAAATGACAAAATAAATTAAGTTTAGTTAGCAGGGAATTGCCCTAATGTTAGAATGCAGATTGTCATTTAATGATTCCACTACATGTGCATCTCAAAAACCATTTTCTCATGATTGAATATTGGTGAGTGCCCAGTTCAACAAGACTCCTACTTGGAGTCTACTCCTCGATAAAGATAGATCTCTAGAGGATCAATAGATTAGGACTCTGTATAGATAACTTTGCCCTGTAACTTATCTTCTCCTATTGTAACTAAGACACTTCATATATAAATACATTGGACTGCCACAAGTCGGCAGTAAGCCTTTCAACTTGTTGTTAATCTCGAATCTGGTGTGTTTTTACATCATTATTGAACAGATTTTTCTATGGCCTCAAACAAATAGATTGAATAAGCAGCATAACTATGTAACGCTTCAATCTGTTTAATGTCGGTGTTGACCCACCTTCATTTGCGTGAAGAATCCCACCGGTGTAAGGTTTCAACCTATTGAAAAGAGAAAACAGGAAGTCCCTTCCTTTGTAAAAAAGAGGCCATAAAATGTACCGCCAGAGCTCTCGCCACCGATGGCCGCTAGTTGAGGTCACCATTCGTTGTGGTAAGGTCGTGAGTGTGTGGATAGGGTTTGGTGGAGGAAAAGCAACGAAGCCCTGCAAAATGGGAGGGAGAATGAGGGAGGAACACAGACTAGGTGTTTTTTATTTTTATTTTTTTGTCTTTTTGTGGCCGGTTGAACCGGCTATCCCATGTTAACAGTCAAAGGCCCGTTAGCATTATGAATCTTAGCCATGAACTACATGGTCGTCGATTGTGATTAGTGGATTCACGCCGAATCAGCCCCCCACAACACATCCCCGCCATGTATTGGGAACATCTCCCGATGATGACATCATCATTCTTGATATTATCATCAAACGATAGAGGTGTGCTGTGGGAATTTGTGGGGGGCAGTCTATAGGGGGCTGATTTGAACTCATCCGATGAACCCACTGGTGTACAGAAAGCAGACTCAAAGCAAGGGGTCAGAAGAGAACATATTTTCTGGGCACAGGTATAATTTTAAAAGCAAACTATGCGTTATGCCTGTTTGTTTTTTCTTTAACTGTTGTACACAAACTTTGCTATTCTTTAGGGAAAATTCCCGATCAGTACCTTATACTTTGGCTCGAGTGACAATTTGGTCCCTAAACTTTAAAATGTGACAATCCAGTATCCGAACTTTCAACATGTGACGATCTAGTACCCAAACTTTCAAAATGTGGCAATCCAATAACTGTCATTAACCACTTCGTTAATCAACCATTAAGTGATTTGAAAAGTCAAAAATGTCCTTCAAATGCCATCTAATTCTCTTTATCAACCATTTAAACATTGACAAAAAATGAATAGTCCCAACTCCTAGCCTCTTCTATTCAAAAAAGTTGATGGATATTTAGACGAATCTAGAATTTGGGACTATTCATTTTATTGTTAATGTTTGGATGATTGATAAAGAGAATCAGACGATATTCTTAAGGCATTTTGAACTATTTAAATGCCACTCAAATGGCTAATTAAAGGATTAACACATTTTTAAAATTCTGAGTACTGGATTATCATATTTTGAAAGCTTAAGTACTGAATTGTCACATGACGAAATTGTCACTCGAGCCAAATTAAGGTACCAGATATTGATCGGAAATTTTCCCTGTTATTTATTAATATAAGCCTCCACTTTTTACTTATTTAAAAATAAATAAATTATTGTGAGTAGGACGCGGGTAAAGAAAATGAGTACCAAACCTGTCCGCATTCTAAACAGCGACTTAAGCCTTTTACGTGGTTCAATTGCATTGGCTTGGACGGAGACAAAATCATGAACACCAGGCTGGTGATTTCCTCACAAAGCCTTCGGAATCATTCGCCTGGAAGCTGTAGCAGGGCAAAATAAATATTACAAAATTCAAACACCGGTCATCCTCTGAACAAGGAGATGTCCAACTCTCACTCCAACCGTGAAGGTGAAACCATGTCAAACTCCGGTGGCGAACATATATTGGTTTTCCCATATCCGGCGCAGGGTCACATGTTGCCCCTTCTCGACTTCACCCACCAACTAGCCCTCCGGGGCTTAACCATCACCATACTGGTGACTCCCAAAAATCTACACATACTGAATCCTCTTCTCTCCAACCACCCTTCCATCCACACCCTTGTCTTACCTTTCCCGACTCACCCCTCTATACCTGTCGGCGCAGAAAACGCCAAGGACGTTCCATCCACTGCCTTCCTTCCTATGATTTGCGCTTTCGCCCGACTTTATGATCCTCTCCTCCACTGGTTTCAGTCTCATCCCTCACCCCCTGTTGCCATCATCTCCGATTTGTTTCTTGGGTGGACTCACCACCTCGCCTCCCAACTCGGCATCCCTTGCATCGTCTTCTCTCCTGCCGGGGCAATGTCTGTATCAGTGGCTCGTTCCCTGTGGCGCGATCTTCCCCAAAGAGATGACCCCAACGACCCTTGCTTCCCCATTTCTTTCCCCAAGCTTCCTACTTCCCCCACATTCCCCTGGTGGCAGCTCACCCTTTTCTACCACAGCTACATCTCAGGGGACCCAGATTCGGAGTTCTTAAGAAAAACCTGTCTGGCCAACATTGCTAGCTGGGGAATCGTTCTCAACTCGTTCACCGCGTTAGAGAGCGTCTACTTGATTCACATGAGGAATGATTTGCCGCACCAGCGGGTTTGGGCTGTGGGGCCTCTGCTTCCTCCTGGTCCTGGTGACAACCCATCGGGACTCACCGAGACCGAGAGGGGTGGTTCCAATTCTGTTGCAGCCGGAGACGTGCTCTCTTGGCTGGATTTGTGTACAGATCGCTCTGTGATATATGTGTGCTTCGGGAATCGGGAGTCAGTCTGTGTTGATCAATGAACAGATGGAGGCACTGGCTGCCGGGCTGGAGCTAGCAAAGCGGGTGTCCCTTTGTTTGGTGTGTCAAGGAGGCAACCGAGGGACACGGAGTGGTTCCTCCAAGCTTCGAAGAAGGTATGAGAGGAAGGGGACTGGTGATAAGAGGCTGGGCTCCGCAGGTGCTGATACTGAGGCACCGCGCTGTTGGTTTGTACTTGACGCACTGTGGGTGGAACTCTGTGCTTGAGGCACTAGTGGCGGGTGTGCCTATGCTTGTCTGGCCCATTGGAGCCGACCAATTTCCAAATGCTAAGCTGTTGGTCGACCAAATGGGGATGATAGTCAAGGTTTGTGAACTAGGGTGTGGAGACGGTACCCAATTCAATGGAGTGAGTTGGCTAAGGCCATCACTGACTCAGTGCGTGCAAACAGGTTCGAGTGGATGCGAGCCATGGATTTGCATAAGGCAGCACTCGATGCGATCAAGGAGGGTGGGACTTCGTTCAGAGGCTTGGAAGGGTTGGTGGAGGATTTGCGTCGTTGTGTGAACTTAAATTCAGTAACAACTCAGTTGACAAGCTAGCACATCTGATGTGAGCGACTGAACTCTCCAAACTCCAAAGAAACTAGTAGAATGGTGGATGAATTTAAACTTAGAATAGATCCAATTGGAGAGAGCTATCAATTCCTGTACCATCCATCAAATTAAGGCATCTCTCTCTCTCTCTCTCAGATAGGTATGTATGTATGTATATCCCATATTATGTTATATTACAGTAGTTCAACATTAAGGGAGCTAAATTTACGATTTCCAGCCAATTGCATGGATAAAGAATACAGCGGATCAAAATACATATTAAAGTAATTTTCATTATGCTTGGTCCTTGTTCCATTGGTGGACTAAACAAGGGGTAGCAATGGTTTTGCCCCAACTAGTACCCTGTCATATGCACTAGCAGCAAGTATGGGTTTCGTGGACCTGAGCAGGGAAACTGGTTATATTGACAATTTCAAATAGCTAGAAAAGATTGATTGAAATTTAAATTATATATGTTGCAGTTAAATGTTACAATCAACAATTATTTATAACTATATAGTCATTATTCCTCCATCAATGCCAACAGTTTTGGAGACCTAGGCAGGAAAAAAAATCATTTTTTTTAGGAAAAGAGCGTTTGGTCATAGCAGTATATTTTCTCATTCTGCCCATTTTATCTATTTTATTCATTTTAGAATTTTATCTTGTGTAAGGATAAGAAAGAAAGAAATTATTGAAACAAACATGGTCTAATTATCTCAAGGATTTTTTTCCCTGGCTTAAGTTATCTTTTGTACGTGACTACATACAGTTAGAACTGAATGAGATCATCTCGATGGAGTCATCTAAGTGAGAACCATGCATGCATGGACCTCTATTTTCCTTGATATGCAATTAATTAAAATCTCAACTTGAAAAACAAAACACTCCTTCAGATGGTTTCCCCGTTTGTCAAATAGTTAAATAGGAAAGATGACATACATTCCCAAACTGGAATAAATTAATTAATTAAGGTCCTACATCCAAAACATATATCTAAGAGGGATGCCACAAGAATTTGTTGCAAAAATTAATCTTAACCAGTCCTGTGACCATAAATTGCTCAGAGAAACATATCTTGATCCATCTTAAAGATGCCAGAGCAACAGCTAGCAGCAAGATAAACTTAGATATATAATTCATAAAACAACCTAATAATTTCATTAAAAGAAGTGCTTCAGAAGGCATATCAATTTACAGTTTTCTACTAGTTCTATCCCAACATATTATTAAAACAAACCAAACTATATTATGTTCGACTTTATAGCTGGTCCATGAAGAGAAATGAAAAGGTTTGTCGTTGGAAACAAAAGTGAGGAACTTCTCCCTTCCTTGGGAGGAACAAAATTGTGAACCTAAACCTAACTAACTACGGTTTCATAGACACACCATTGTTGATTGGCGGGCTGTGACGAGGCTTTTTGTTTGCACTGTAATCCTTATGGATCAGGGCCACTAACTCATTAGCAGCCTGAAGAAGCTTCTGCCTTTCAATTTTCTGAAAGGCATAATAGAACTCTACAGAACCTGATCCTTTTGACCTTGATGAACATTCCAACTTGTCACAAGTTGAAGCAGCCTTAGACTCATGGTACCTGAGTTGGTTGGTTGTGTTTGGGAGTTCAACTGGCTTCCCTTGAACTTCCTTGAGGATTGGCTGCAACATGTGGAAGTATTCTGTGTTAGAATAGGAGAGAAATATATAACAATCTGATGTAGGGCATGTATGTGGAGTAGAGAGAGAGAGAGAGAGAGAGAGAGAGAGAGAGACCTGATCATTCATGTTCTTTAGCAATCTTCCAATTGAACTCTTAGAAGCATTTTTATCTCCTCCTGCACCCAAACGACCAAATATTCAAATTGAACTACAAACCAGTAATTCCCCCCTACAACCCATATCAAAGAACTCGGCTGAATGATTGTTTAAACAATCCAACAGTCTATGAAATGAGAATTAAGCAATCATCATAAATAAATTTAATTAGTGTCCCACGCAATTGTCAAAAATAGCAGTCGTTAATGCAAGAACTTTGAGCCACTTGGTATAATAATTTATTAGAACATCAGAAGTCTATTCCGTACATACAAGTATGATGTATTCCACTCGGTTTCCCTAGGACCTCTATAGATAGAAACACGATAAAGGCAAAACTGGAGCTAGCTTTTTTTTTTTGTTTTTTGAAGAGCTTCACTGCTTTTTCCTCAGTTATTCTTAGGTGGGTGAGGTCTTGGCACACGATAATCAGCACTGAAAGCTATAAAATCAACCACATTGACCTTCACATTTAGAAGACTTCTATCTTTCGGTTCACATTCTACATTGGATTCTCCCTTCCCTCCATGATTACATTTTCCAACAGAATGGGCTGCACCTGAAATCTTTGGATTTGGAGTTCCTCCATTCCAAGCTTCCTCTTTCAATATTGAATCCTTCATCAAGACTTTTCCGGCTGCCATTTTCCTTCCTCCGAGCTTCTTGTTTCTTGTGGAAGCTGTAGCCGGTACACCAACAAAAAGTTCCTGCTAAAATGTTGAAATTAGGAGAAAAATTTAACTCTCCAAAGAAAGATTAACAAAGAGTTGCTGAAGTAATAACTTACTACCTTATTAACAGACACCGCATCCAATCCACTGGCCGCAATTCCATCGACAACCATCTCCGTCTCCAAAGCTACAGAAGGAAAGAGCAAGAATTAATCGCTTTTAAACCATATATAGAGAACGAACTAACTATGAAGCTTATACAAATAAACACGTATCTACCTTTCTGGGTATGTGCTACAGAGTTGCTTAGGGAAAGCAAAGCGAAGAGAAGCCCTACTACTAAGCGTGTAAACATTGTGAGCGCCATCTTTTCCTGCGATCTTTAGTATGTTTGTTTGCTGTTAACAACAAAAGAGAAGAAAGAAAGACAACACAAGCTGGTTTTATAGAGAGTTGATGGTCCAATCCCAAGTCAAAGCTCCTAGGGTTCCGACATCTCATCTTTCTAAAATAAAACTAAAAAATTTGTCTCTTGTCTATACGTACGATTTGGGGAAACTCTAAACAACAGCGTTCAAAGCTTGAAAAGTTGAATGTGGTCTTTTGGGTTTTGGCTTCAAGTATTAAGAGAGAGGAGTAAAATAGCGTGGAATGGAAGATACGGGTGTTTTGCGCTTGTCTGCTGCCATGCATGCAACGAGGAGAGTGAATTTGGTGGTTGAGATTTTGGTGCCCACTAAAGCTAGAGCTTCGATATCATTTATATATGGTTTTATTGATGACTCTAGTCCCCATATTAGCCATTTTGTATTAATATCATGCAATGCGCCCAAAAGTAATTAAGTTAATTTCAAGCGCGCAAGAACAGAACAAAGATCAACAGCCACAGCTACCGACCTGCCTTTGGCACAGTTTCATATGATAGTGGACTGTGGAGGCTACTCCCTATTCGCTTAAGCTTTTCCATGTGTGAAAGAGTATTTACCAGCCAATAAAATGGGTGTTCTGAGCTTGTTTCGGCATTGACTAAATTAAAACTGGTCCTACTTATCGGGACAAGTACCTCTCTTGAAAAAAAAAAAAAAAAGAGAAAAGCCCATCGGCGGTTTTGAACAGTTCTGAGATAGCATCTCATTAGCTTCTGATTTCTAGAAAGTCTCAGCTAACCTTTATATATTGCTTTCATTTGTTAAACATGATCTATTAACTTCGGAACTAAGAGATTGTTCGCCTGATATATTCGTGTACCAGCTCAAATATGAGAACAAAATTTAAGAAAAAATATGCAACAAATCATCATACAACTGTGGAATCTCTTATTTCAAATTTAAAACAAAGGAAAAAAACTTACAAATATGGGATATAGTAATAGGGGTGAACAAGAAAAACTAAAAAATCGAACTGAATCTAAAATTCAGTTAACCAAATCGATCGATTTAGTTTCAGTTTGGTATTTTTAAAAAACCAAAGGTATCAGTTCAGTTTTGGTTAACCAATATAGAAAACCAGTGGTTAATCAAAACAACCGGTATACATTTATTTCTATATATTTTATATATTTATGTATTATTATATATAATGTATAATTTATTATTTATTATTTAAAATATAATATTTTATATATTTTGAACTTTTGTATTATATAGTTATATATTTTTCATAATATATATTATAAAAACAAAAAAAAAACTGAAAAACCGACGAACTGAACCACCAATTAACCGAACAACTTCGATTTAATTTCAGTTACCGATTTTTCATATACCGATATTATCGAATCGGTCTCAAAAATAGCCCAAGGTTCGGTAAGCACCCCTATATATAGTACTGAATCTGAACATAGACAGACTTCCCTCATATCTCATCTAGTTCAAGAAATTACTCCTACTATTTTTGTCATCATCTATTAATTTTATGAAGTCTCTTAATCTCCTACAATTTTACTTACATATATTTTCATAAATTTGCCTTATTAGTAGCCGCAAGGAAAGGGGTTTTCCTTTGAAGTGATCACTGCTTTTTCTTTTCTTTATTGCATTTTGTTTTGCATCGGAAGATGGGTTGGGGCCCAATATGAGACAAATAGACTACTTCAAATCTCTTCGAACATGTGGGCAACCGGGCAAGGAGCAAATTAACCAATCAAAAGATTATTTAACTTCAAAATAGAAAAATTACTTCTTTTATTTGGAATGATGTCCATTAGTTTTTTTTAGCAGAAGTATGGGAAATATTCCACAAAGTGTAGAAATTAAATATCTAGTTTTCTATGTAAAAAATTAAAAAGAAAAAGCTTTCAGAGCAAACCTTCAACTCACTAAACAACAGACCTAGAATATTCTTGTCTTGTTTTTATTTTATCGGCAAGATATATAGTAGCCGGTGATTAGGAAGGAAAGCATAGGTCCCAATGGAGAATGGGCATGCATCAAATTAAGAGCTGAAGGAACATGGGCAAGTGATTACTACATTGAATCACTAACCCTATCATCATTAACAATAAATAATACTTAATAAAGAAAGGCGATGGTCCCTGTAGTTTAGAACACGAGGGCGTGAATTCCAACTTCGTATTGGTGCATGGGTGGCCTTTGAGAACAGTGTGAGCTGTAACCAGTCGGTTATTCTACCTTGCAAAACCATGGTAGAAATCTGAAAACCATCCAATCTCAACATTTCCATCTACGTGGAAAATTGTGCCATGTGGCGTGCAATGGTCGGCAGTTTGCCACATGCATCATGTGTCACATGTCTTGGTAGGTGGTGGAAGATATTTTGGAATATCCATTTCCATTTCACAGGAAAAAATTGTAACGTACGTCTCCAAGCTCTACGGTGCAATGAAGTTGGAATGGCGATCTGCAAAACTGATCTAATTTAATTTGATAATATATTAAACTAGTTAGGACCCTTTCTGCCTTTGGTTTGACAAAGAATTAATTGGCATACTATAGATAATTTCTCTTCCTTTTTACAGTTGATGGGCATGAAGTTAAAAAGATTGGCGTTTTTCTTTCTTTAAATTGAAATATTTATACTTTTATCTGTTAGCTAAATGAGTCCTGTATATATATGACAACCAATCCCAAACGGACCTGTATTCACAATAAATAAGATTGTGGCTTCATTCACCAATGTTATGTAGTCTTCTTCAATCTCATTTGTTTTCTTGATACTTCAACTTAAATTATACTAATCCTTTTCTTATGTGGGTCAGTAATCAGTAATACTTTATTACTAATTAAATCAAACTGATCACTAAGAGTAAGTGAGTAACCTTTGATTGAAACGCAAACCAAGACTTTGAACGTTCTTTTGTTCAAGTTCACTCGTTCTCACCTTTTGAGTTGTTAGTTTGTTACTACTACTGGGGTTCAATCAATGAGGGAAATTAAAAACCAGCAGGAGAGACATTGGACAGTGGCTTGGAAGAAGTAGCTAGCTAGCATTTAGCGGTGCATGTTCTCTTTATTGGATTTTGTTCTAGGGTTTATGGCTTGTATTCCTCTGTGTGTGTACGGAGATGGACCTTTATAGGTTTAGGGATTCTGAGTTTATTTGGATACCAACTTGTATGCAATAGAGTTTCATTGGAAAGAACGTTGGTGTGGGATTTTGTTTGCTGCTAATTAAGATTAGTTTCAGATCTCAATGCATGAAACCAAACTCTGTTTTGCCTTTTGAAGGCAGAGGCACATGGCTGCCACCAACACAATCTTCTTTCTCATGATAATGTAATAAAAATTAGGGAATGCCCTTGTGGTCCAGCATAGTTCAGACTTCAGACTTCAATGTTCAAACAGCAGCCGCATTCTCAATCCAAGCTATATATGAACAAAATGAAAGGGGAAAGGGGAGTGATCAGTCTGAGTGATCAAGGCACAACTATTTTTTTGTATAAACCCGGCACATCCCCGGTGAAAAGACTAAAAAGTTGAACATTAGTTGTCATCGAGGAAGCCAAAACATTGGGGTGTTTTTGTCTTTGAGTATTGATTTCATTAAGAAAATGGGATGTGCCCAATGAAAAAGCAACCGCCTTTGGAAGTTGGAACTACCTATACTAGCTAGGGTGATCCCAGTGGTCTTGTAGAAAAATGAACAAAACATGCTTTGCTTGGCTTGGCTTGGCTTGGCTTGGCTTGGCTTTGCTTTGCTTTGCTTTGATGGCATGGCAACATGCAGGGGATCCTCTCTTCCCAGCTTGACTTTAGGTCTGGGCTAGGCTAGGCTAGGCCAGGTCTACTAATTAAGCCCAGTCAACTTTGGCATTTTCCAGGTCAGATTTTTGAATTGCGGGCTAAGTTAGATTTAGTAGCAGTAATCTTGTCATGTATAATACAGAGCCATTTGCTTCACTCAGCTATTTAATTCAAGTTGCAGAACCAATTAACAGGCGTAACTGCCGCTTCTCCTAGTTCTTCTCTCTGGTAGGTCGGGTTCTGATTTATGAAAACGCCTGTTTTATTCATGTCTTAATTTGTGTACTTGCCCAATGTTATATTAGTCTTCTACAGCTTGGGAAAAAGAAGGTTTTCAGTTTTCTACACGGGAAAAACTTAGATAAACTCCCCCTGTTCTGCCCACGTGGGGAAATTCTATATATGGCCCATTTCTGTACTTTCCTACTTGCATCCCATGACTGAATTGAATGTACGTAGTCTCCTGTTTCCTGAAACTTAACATGATATCACATCAGATCAGAAAAGACCATTACCCAATGATGGTTCCAGCCTTGTATGCATTGTGTGTTCTCAGACTTCTGCAGATTCGATCTCTTATTCATACTTATTCCCTAAAAGGATTCTTGGGTTAGACTTCTCTAAATGACCCACCCAAACATCTATCCCTTAGCCTGTGTTTGGTTGCAGTGCAAATAAAATTGCACTAGTATAAATGTATAGGAGTGCAAATGAAAAAAAGTGCAAATTTTCATTTATTTTGTTATGGGTTTTGCTTTATTTTGCTTCATGTCTTAATTTACTTTATTTGTAATACAGTCAAATAAAATAAGCTAAAATTTGAAACAAAAATATATCATAATTTACACTCAAATCATTTGCACTGCTAATGTTTCATATCAGTGCAACTTTATTTGCATTGCAACCCAATACAGCCTTAATCTCTAAGTATTAACCATATATGATATAATTTATAATAATTAGAAGCTAACTGCTTTCCTCATGTTACATTTTTATTTTTTATTTTTTTATTTTTGTTACTTAGCCTGCCTGACCGTTGCTCTGGTTTAAAGCTTTGATAAATTCAAGATACGTTTTTCTTTTCTTTTATTTTTATATTTTGCAAACTTGACTTTGTTAGGCCAAAATTAAGCTTATGCATTCATATTTAATTTAAAGTTCTCCTTGTGGCTTGGGAAATAAATTTTCTTGGT